TCAAGGAATTGATTACTCAATATTTGGAAAAAAATAGCAAATGCCAAGACTGCTATATAAATCATGAGACATATAAAAGTTATCACATAAAGGACTAGAGAAGGCTCATAAGTCTAAATGGCAATCTTTGTGCAAAGAATATCAAATGTACAAAATGTCTAATTCAAAAAATGTAGAACAATATTTTCCTTGTGTTATAAATCTTGTCAATAACAAGATAGTATATGGAGAAGATTTTATGGATAAAAAAGTAGTTCAGAAAATTTTATGTATCATACCAATGAAGTTTGATCATGTGATAAATACGATCATTGAGTTCCACGACACCAACACTTTGTTAATAGTAGAGCTATAAGGTAGTATTGAAATTCATGCCAACAAAATATTGAAAAATACATAAAAAGAAAAAGAAAAAGCGTTGAAGAGCCAAGTGAATCCCAACAACATAGATGAATCCAGTTAAATAAGAGAAGGTAGATGTCGTGAAAATTTCAACAATGGTCGATGAAGAAATTTTAGAGGTAGAGGCGTGGAAACTTTAACAAATGAAAATGCAACTAAAACACAACCAGTTCCTTAGGGGTACTATAAACTTACAAGTGGTGTGCTTGTGAGATAGCTCATAATACATTTAATTAAAGTGTGATTCTTTGAGGTTTTCTTGAAAGTGTACACACATATAGATAGAAAACATTCTGTTATGACGATATGCAGTAAGACAAAAAATGATACCAATCATACGTCGATATTTGATTTCTTCAACCACTTTCCACCATCGTTCTTATTCAAACTACACGAAGTGCTCACTTATGTTGAGATAACTTTCACTTTTTCATACCAGACCGTTTAATAACTCTTTAAAATATTTATCTTGATTGATGAAGATGCATTTATTTGTTTGATAGATTTGTAATCCAAGAAAATATCGAAGCTTCCCCATCATAGACATTTCAAATTCATTCTGCATTATATCAGAAAATTATTGCACAAGGACTCGCTAGTAGCACCAAATATAGTATCATTGTCATATATTTTCTCAAGTAAAATGTCATGTTTAAATTTCTTAATGAAAATTGTTGTATTAACCTTCCCTTTTTAAAATTATTTTCAAGTAAAAACTTGTTCAAACGATCATACCCAGTTCTAGGGACTTATTTCAAACTGTAGAGATTAATTTTCAGCTTGAAGACATGATTATGAAAAGATAAGTTTAGAAAAATGGGAGGTTGATCAGCATACATTTTCTCTTGGATGTAACCGTTCACTCTTTACAATCATTTGGAAGAGTTTGAAATTTAATATCCTTGAATAAGTGAAAAGCATCCTTACGGCTTCCAATCTAGCTAATCGAGTATATTTCTCATCAAAATCTATGTCTTTCCGTTGATTGTGCCCTTTTGCACAAGCCTTGCTTTATTTCTTAAAAACTTTTCATTTTCGTCAAGTTTATTGTGAAAAACTCATTTTCGTCAAACTTAGAAAGAGACTAATGTTTATCAATGAGTGCTTCACAATTTTTTATAATAACATAGAATAAAGTAACATGGTCATTTTTATTGGAGTAGTTACATCCTAGAATGATATTCAAGTTACCTATTTCTTTGGTGAATTTATCAAGTGTATTACGCAAGTCGCCAATTTATTTTCTAAAAGATTTTATTTTTTTACACTTGATAGGTTCAACAAAATTCTCATAAAAAGAAGAAAAAGAAAAAGGAGAAGAGTTTTGAGTTAAAACACTTTGTTTTTCTCTAAGATTATCTATTTCTTCTAACAATTTTTTTTCAAGAGAAGAAGTAGTAGACTTAGAGACAAAAATAAGATTTTTTAGTTTACTTGTTCCGTTGTCTAACTTTTTATAAATGTGAAATAATTCATGATAAGAAAAGTAGAAAGTTGAGCTATTTACCTCATTGTCTTCATGTTTCTCCATAAGGGATATGTTTGATTCTTCCTTTTTTCTAATTCATTCGAAGAGTCCATATCATTGTTACCCAAAGCTATGCATCTTTTCTTTATTTTTTAGGCCTTTTAATTTTTTGAGCATTTTCTTAGTTCTGAGGGAAGTTTGGTTTTATATGATCTTTCTTTTCACATTGATAGCAAGTTGGGATTAACGAAGATCTTCTTTCCTTATTGTGTTGAAAGTCTTGTTGCTTGTCATGTTTTATGAAGTTCTTAAATTTTTGTACCAACAAAGTCATGTCTTCATCAACTACTGAGTCTTTGTCTTCTTCGACCTTGAGAGCGAGACTTTTCTTCTTTTTGTCACCTTCTTCGTCCTCAACTAGCCTTTTTAGTTCCATTTCATATTCTAGTAATTTTTCAAACAAAGTAGTCAAATTCATAGAAGGCAAGTCTTTAGATTCAAAAATCACAATCACTTTAGATTTTCACTTACAATTTAAACATATAAGGACTTTGATAATCAAATTCTCATTTAAAAAAGTTTTGTCCATAGTTCTCTCGTATAATTCATAATATGAATAAAATGTTTTTATCATATTTTGAATATTTTTCTCAGGTATCATTTTAAATAATTCGTATTCATGGGTAATGTGTTTATTTTATATATTTTTATCTCGATTATAATTTAATGAGTAATTCGAAGAATGTCTCACATTTCTTTAACAGATTTACAGTGAGAAAAAAAAACTCATAAATATCTTGATTAATAATAAATATATTTAATTTGGTTTTGTAAAAAAGTGTTTTAATTTTTTTTTTGAAAAAGTGTGTTTCTATATTTGTACCATATTTTAGTTTTAATTTGTATAATAATTTTACAAAAGTTTGTGGCCACACTACATCAACAAAATCAAATCCCATATTCATTTTCAGTCACCTCTATTTTCTTTGATGTACCACCTTAATCTCCAACACATATAAGATATACCCTCCTATCATAATGCTATTATTGCTTATGTTCTTACCTTCATATTACAAAAACCTCCTACCTAATCATCATTCACTAGTAGCATCTATAAAAACCACTCTCCTCCATTACATTTCCACAAACCAAATACTCATACCAATAAAATCATATACTAATAATAAGAAAATGAAGCAAATCATCTTCTTTTCACTCTTAATACTATTTGCTCATATATTTTTCATCACTACTTCAGCTCAATCACCTGCAGCAGCACCTAAACCTCCAGCAAAGCCTGCCCCTGCCACACCAGCTCCAGCAGCAGCACCAACAAAACCATTAGTCCCTTCATTACCTCAATCACCCTCCTCCTCCGATTCTTCGTCTGGTCAAGACATTATCAAAATCCTAAGAAAAGCTAAATCATTCAACACGCTAATCCGGTTGCTGAAAACAACACAAATCATTAACCAAATCAACGCACAACTAGTTACAACAAAATCCGGCGGTTTAACCATTCTTGCACCCGATGACGGTGCCTTTTCGCAGCTCAAAGCCGGATACTTCAATTCCCTCGGCGAACGGCAACAGAAAGAACTGATACAGTTTCATGTTCTTCCTGTTTATGTCTCAAGCTCAAACTTTGATTCACTAAGTAATCCAGTGCTTACTCTTGCAAGTGATAGTCCTTCTGGTTATCAAATGAATGTGACTGCTTATGGAAACAATGTGAATATTTCAACTGGGTCTGTGAATGCTACACTCACAGGGATTGTGTATTCTGATAAGACACTTGCTATATATCATGTTGATAAGGTTCTTATTCCTTTGGATTTCTCTAAGCCTAAAGCACTAGCTCCTGCTCCTTCTATAGCAAAAGCACCTAAAGCTGCTAAGGATTCATCTTCAGATGATGATCAGGGTGTGACAACTAAGGCTACTTCTGGTGCCATGATTTTGATTGGCTTTCAAGGAACATTGTTTGTGTCACTTTTTGTTGCTGCACTAACCATGATCAGTTGATGAAGACCAACTCATTTGAAAGCTGTTTTGTTTTTTGGATTTGTACTGTGTTCTTTCTTTCATTCTTGGTTTTGTTTTTGTATTGTCATGGGAAGATTGTTGTTTGAGAGCTTGTGAAGTGTGAACATTTTCCTGATTTTGTTCATGTAAAAACAGAAAACATATTGTTTTGATAAAAGAAAGTTTACTCTACAAACTATAATCTTCATTATGAACTTTAATAATTGATTATAATCACTTTGTTTTAGATGCAAAAAGAGTGCCTAAGCCCAGAAGACGAAAGGCTAAGTGCCTATAATTTGCAAGTAAATTTGAACTTCTGATTCCCTCCCGCCAAGTATGTCGAACTCGGACCTGCCAATCTAACACTAAAAGGTTGCGCATACGCCTCACCAAAGTGAATACCCTGCCTCCAAGGATGCCGTTATCTAGAATCATGTTATGTCAATCAAAATTTTAGAATCACTCTCCATAATGAGATGTGAAATACAATCTCCCCAAGCAAGTCCAAGCCAGGTACAAGTTCACAATCTATACTAGATTTTAGAATACTGTATAAAATTATCAAAATATCTTAATATTTGACATTTCCAGCTTCTCCTAAATACTATTTTCTTAACTAACTACTGCTCTAGGTATAATGAACTCAGAGTTTGTGAGTAACATCTGATCTGAGAGTATGGTAGGTCTAATGTTTGCTTCTTAGCTCCTCAATCCTTATTAACAAATCTTTGTCAAACAGTGTTTCCTAGGAAGATAAACTATAATCTGATTATTTCTTTTTCTTTCTGGCTGATGGAAAACCTCAACCTCTAAACAGATCAAAAGCCCATTTTCCTACCACATTTTCATATACCCGCAGCATCAAACAATTGATTTTATAACTCTATGATGTGATGAATCATATGATATGATATGATATGATGAAAAAGTTGTAACTTCCAATTTTCTTTCCAACTAAACTAAACCTTGCACCTATTAACATCCTCAATAAAAACCAATCCTTTCTCCTTCATTCATCACACCAAGACACAAAACAAATAAAGTGCTATCAAGCAGTACTTCCTAAGTGTCATACACATTAATCTCATTTCATCATTCAACAATGAAGAAACAACAATCTCTTTTCTCTTCTTCAATTCTAAAACTACTAATTTGCATCCTTTTCTACTCCATTACCATCTCAGCACAGCTCTCGCCAGTTCAACCCCCACAAACATCAACACCAGCACCAGGTTTCAACACAGTTCCCCTTGTACCAGTTTCCCCAAGTGGAGGTCCGGCTCCTATTGACATCACCCCCAAAACATCATCCATTGACATCATCCTAATTCTACAAAAAGCCAAAAGATTTTCGGTTCTTGTTCGCCTTCTCAAAGCAACTCAGTTAATAACCCAACTCAACTCACAGCTAGTTACGTCACCATCATCATCAGAAGCATCAGATTCTAGCAGTGCTGGTTTAACCCTTTTTGCACCAGAAGACAGTGCTTTTTCAAAACTGAAACCAGGTTTCCTTAATTCTCTCAGTGACAGACACAAAGTAGAACTGTTACAGTTCCACACACTCTCTTCATTCATCTCAATCTCAAATTTCAACACCTTAACAAACCCGGTTCAAACACAGGCCGGTGACGATGCTAAAAGGCTACAACTTAATGTAACCACTTCCGGGGGTGGCCATGTTAGCTTGACAACAGGTGCGGTTAACGCTACTGTCACAGGAACCGTTTATGCAGATAATAAACTAGCTATATATCAGGTTGACAAGGTTCTTGTTCCTCTTGATCTTTTGCTTCCTGCGAAAGCTCCTGCACCTGCACCGGTTTCTAAAGGAGGTTCATCTGATGATGGAAGCAAGTCATCTACATCGAAGGATGATGATGATGATGAAAACAAAGACTCGCCTTCTGAAACTTCTTCTGGTGCTGGTTACTCTAATGTGAAGGGAATGTGGATGGCTTTTGTTGTTGGGATGGTTTTGCTTGGTTATGAAGCTATGCTATCAATTTGAAGATAATAGTTTTGCCAAGCATAGATTGAAAATGTGTTTTGAAAATGGTGATATATATTATATATATATATATATATATATATATATTTATATATATATATATATATATATATATATATATATATATATATATATATATATATATATATATATATATATATATATATATATATATATATATATATATATATATATATATATATATATATATATATATATATATATATATATATATATATATATATATATATATATATATATATATATATATATATATATATATATATATATATATATATATATATATATATATATATATATATATATATATATATATATATATATATATATATATATATATATATATATATATATATATATATATCTGAAATCTGTGTTTTGAAATTTACGTTGTTTGATATTGTATGATGTTTCCCCCTATATTGGTCTTGTATTTATTACTTTGTTAGTGAATATAAATAGTAAAGTAACCTTTGTTAATTGAGTAAAATGCTGGTTAATATAATTCATAGTTTAGTTACTGAGTGCTCTGACATTAAAAAATAAATCTTACATGATAAATAAACTTTTGATTAATGATATATAAAAGGTTGATTAATACAATTCATAAATTGACCGATGAATGCCCAAACATAAAAAAAAATAATATTTTATATGGTAAATTAACTTTGTTTAATGATGTGTATAAAGTTGGATAATATGGTTCATAATTTAGTTAAGTAATAATATAAAGTTGGTTTATAGGATGTAAAAGATTAGTTATTTCATAGTTTAATATATGTATTTAATGTTAAGTGTTTTGGGCCAGTTAAAAACCTAAAGCCAGGGTCCAAACTGATACAAGTCCAAATTAAGTAACCTAATGTATAAATATTAGCACACCTGATATTTCAGGTACACTTTTCTGATCTTCATCTTCTAGTACACTCATCTTAAATTTTAAATTGAATTGAGCATTAGAGTGCTAATCTTGCGAGTCTACTCTGTGCCACCGCATCGGAGATCATCACCATTGATTCATGATTCATAACCATCAATACACACTAATTTTGGTTCCACACCAAAACAATTGTGCCTTATGTGGGAATTTACTCATAATTCCCACGAGATTCCACAAGTAGATCATCCTCGACCCAAAGTCATGTCTCTACCAAAGCCTAGAGAAGGAAAATAAACTAACACATTGCAATTAGGAGATATGTTAGATACTCCGATTTTATTCCGCCGTATTTGATCGTCACTGTTGAGATCTACTACACCGCAAAATTCGGCGGTATTCTATCATCGGAGCGCCTCTTCCAAACAACAAGTGATACTAAACTGTGAGTTGGGGAACGAGTTACACTGGGAAGTTCAAGAAGCAATACGACATTTAGAGCCTTGAGAGCAGAGTTGCTGGTAGCTTTCATAGTCTCTATAGCTAACAAGACGCTTATGAGGTACCTCATAGATTTGTAATTCCCGTAATAACTTCTGATCTGCAATAGTTGGGCAATAAAATATCCATCAATTAGATCTAAATACACACGATGGCAGAGATCTATTGACCTTTGATAATTCGATAGCTTACCCTCGCGGAATGAAAAATCTCATGCCCTCAGTATGAAAGAGTAGGAAGAAGGGGGGTGCCCCTAGGTTTATGGTAATTTCGCATGGGAGCACCATAAAAGACATCTTCATCAGGCTCGCCTTAGCAAGCTAAACGCCACGACTTTGCCAATTCGCTTGAAGATAATATAGTGGGCAGAAAAAACCAAACTCAATCCACGTTGATCGGAAAGGGACGTATTGGAAAAGCCTTCAAGGAATCTTATCCCCTATACAATTATGGTTTCAGAGTAAGCCCAATCGAGGCTAGCCCGACCATATCCATGAGGGAAGTCCTCAACATCCCATTTGAATACACCATTAACTAAATTTTAGAGGATCATTGGAGGCCGGTGTCAACCCCAAAGTAAGGAAACAAATGGGGTAGACGTCTCACTTGACCATTTGTAAGAGACAACCGAGGAAAGTCACGCAGAGATGTCCTAGCCTCCAATGTGCGGATAGGCAAGATATATACAAAGACATTGGCCACCCTATATCGCCCCTCGAACAAAGGTACGTGAACTGAACCCTTTAAATGCAAGTGCACCCACCGAGAATCTATAAGGGGGACTATGTCCTCGGCACCAAATACGCTCGATCATGTAAGGCGAAGTTGATTGATAAACGCTTCCACTGTGACAACCATCAGTTGTGCAGTCAGTCAAAAAGTGAGTAAAACGACTATAGTACTATTCCATTATGATTTATAGATGAGATAAGTGTTTTGTAATGTTTTGCACAATTTCAATAATTAATTTTCTAACTATGAGAAAACATTGCGAACATAAAGGTTCTTGTAACCCATGATGCAAGTCACTCTTCTAAGGAAGATTTCCACACTTGGTGAACATGCTTCAAGCATAGCTGACGCACTCCCTCTTAGGAACTAGCCATTCCAAGAGCGTAGACGGTGGGGCCCAGAGACTTCCGATCTGAACCAAGATAAACTTGGGGTCTATGACATGAGTCTTACCTTTGGCTGGGGATGGTTCATAGTGACACTAAAGAATGACACTAACTCTTCCTAATCGAAGCTCATAACTACGAACTCCGATTGGTACTACAGAGTTAGATTGACATGCCAAATGCCACTAAGGCACACAAGCCGAACAAATCTAAATGTACAAGCACAGTGAATAAGTCCTGATGCAAAAAGGACTCACCAATCAATCCAAAGTATGGAAAGCAGCAACCCACACGGTGGACTGAAAGACAACAAGGAATAATAAAATATATCAAGCACAAAAATTTAAATAAAGGAACCAAGTGTTAAGGTAAATATATAAATGTTGTTATATTTACGAAGACATAAATCCAAAATAACATTATATGAAAAGAAGAAAAAGAAAATCAAGCTTCCTTACTCTGAGACACTGCACCACAATTTCCACCAAAGCCCCATCCTGAACAACTTTGAAAAGGTCCAGTTCCGTGTTAGGAATAGGGGTGTATGACTGGTATCCTTTCGCCTAGACCACTTCCTGGTCAAAAGCTCTATACACGTTTGTCAAAGTCTGCTAAAGAGACTCATGGACTCTCTCATTCAGCTCAGCCACTAGCCATCATGAACCCTCTGATCCATAGCATGCGACTCCTTCTCTTATTAAAGGGCTTCCGAGCCTCATCATCACAACAATTTGCCTACCTAGTCTTATCAACCATCTCTTGATGGTGCTTATTCTCTTCTTCTAAGGAATATTTTAACTCAGCGATCCGAGAATCCAAACTGGAAGGAGGGCCGTGGACCTCCGCCTTTTCTTAGAGATCCTTAACACATCATACCTTTTTCGCAGAGAGCAAATGTCTCCTTCTAAAACTTGGATCACTTCTGCATCAAGGCTTCACACTTTCTCTTCCATGTGTCTCTATCTTTGAAAGGATTACCCTCAGCGGATATAGCAACACCAGTTTCCTCGTGGTTGCGGGGAATTCAGGAAAGAAGGATGACATGCCATTTGAGAAGGGGAGTGGTCGATCCTAAAGTAGCACCCCTAGAAAGGTGATCCCGTTTTGGAGAATCTTTCTCTAGAAGATGACTCTGGTCCAGGTTCGGGTCTCTCTTCACCAGGGTAGTAAAAGCACGAGATTGATCCTTCACAATTAGAGTAGTAATGACAGAAATAAACTACTTAGCTCCAGGGGCTGCTGAAGTAGCCTCAACAACACAAGATATAACGGGAGTTATGGGAGGAGGAGTAGTAGTCCGAGCCAAGAGACCAGAGTTGACACCTTGAGAAGTAGCAATGGTGTAGACTTTCTGTAAAGAGCCTATTTTATCTACAAGTACCAGCATACAGATTAAAAAAACCAAGGATTCCATCCTCACCAAACGACGACACTTTGCTGAGACCAAACCCTTCTTCATAGCTGTCTTTGGTATAAAGACTCCATAAAGGGAATCTAGTTAGATGTTATACATATGAGGCTCAGGAAAAACTGAGGCCAAGCCCGGTATTTCAGAAACCTAGACTTACAAGAGCGAGAAGGCTCAGTAAGGATAGATGTGAAGGAAAAGTTTGGGGCCTCACCAATGCAAAGCGTCCCATAAAATCGGCCCAATCCTCAATCAAAAGGGCTGAAGAAGGGTGTATGCTAACAAATCTCGATAAGACTCTGATCCTGAATATCATTATGAGAAGTATGTACAACTCAGAAAAATTTGAAAAACAATCAGGGAAAAGGTTTCCAAGATCTATACCCGGCCCGAAGCTGGAACATCTTCAAATAAGCCTAAAAACCCGAATGAAGCTGAGACGAGGCAACTTTCAGGTGCTTCAACACCTCCAACTGAAATTCACACAGAGGAAACCGCATATTCACTGGTAAATAGAAACTCATAAAAGGAGACTGAATACCCTTCAAAGGTGTTGTATATTCTTTTTTCTAGATCTACCGGAAGGGCTGACCAATCAAAAGGACAACCGACCGTGGTATTGGTCGCACTTATGGCTGCCTGAGTACTTAGAACAGAGGAGGTCCCCAGTATTTCAGCATCCACCCAATTATATCTGCTCATGTCGATCGACTCTACTAACTTAACACCTTTCAGGGATAGTTCATTGGCCTTAAAGGTTTCAAAGGGTTTAAGCTAGCAAACTCCGTCTGGTCAGGCCCCATGCTTTAGATGGTCCTTGATGTTGGCATCTCTGGTTGTAGAATTTTCGAAAAGCTTGAAATATTATTTATCATCCTCTCCATTCATAATGGTAGCCTGCACTTTCGGAATCAGTAAAGTAGGTGAAGTCGAAGTTCTTACAGTAGGGGATGAAGTGGAATTTCCCTCATATAGAGAATCCCTAAAGATCCTATCTTAATTAGAATCATCAATTATAGATATGACCTCATGGGCCAGTTGATCAATGATCAAGGGGGATGAGTTTGAACTAGAA